GTTATTAATATTCATCGGCAGAATACACGCCTACAAAGACAAAGAGACCTCTGATGTTATTCTAAGAGCTAATGTTTTATTTATTTTTTTTTGGAAACAACATCTTTTTGCAGAATAAAATTTCAGTTCTTACCAATTTTTACACGAATCAGCTGAACCTTATACACCGTGTGGGATGGTTAAAACATTGTTCAATAAAGCACCAAATGGTAAAATATATTGTATTCTATGCACTTAATTTAAGGTGGAGTGTTCGGTTATCCGGAAAATAGTTATCCGAATCACCCGCGGTCACAATTAGTTCGTAAAATTGCCATACTATTTTTTTTCAAATATCTGACTCTTCTTCACTGGAAGCAGATGGTAGTCTTACGGATGAAACACGTTCCTTATATTATCATGTTCATGGTAAATACACCTCACTGACAGTAAGCTGTTGGCAGGAGCTGGAAAAACAATGTTTGTGCTTCTCGCTTAATTGACCAGTGGTCGACTGGCCAGGGTGACAACTGCCCGATGGCATTTGCCCCATTCCATGACGGAGTTGCTCCTTTAAAAATTAGAAAAAATGTTTAGCAATTTTGGAATAGTTTTTCCTTTCGTTCGAGCTGTTTTGATCCATAGAAGTTATTGTTTAAAGGTGGTAAAATAAGGATTCCAGTTGCACAAATTGTAACATTTGCAATTTTTAACAGGTATCGATTATATTAACAAATAATTCTGACCTCGAACAGGTTTCAAGACAAAGGCATAACTGTTTCATCTGCACCTTTATCGGCACCCAAGTCTAGAGTTTACAAAAATATTATTATTTCTTGGTTTAACTCACTCCAATTTACTTATTATTACAAACCTGTATAAGAATTAATTATTATCTTTATACATAGTTTTAAACAATAACAACTATACCCGATACTCCTATGTCATGGCCTCTTAAAAATGGCCACGAATCAACTGAGATTTTTTTTAATCATAACGTTCAAAATTGGAATGTGATTGTAAGAACCGGAGCCTTCTCTCTTTTTAAAAAGACATGATACACATTGTATCTCAATTTTCTAAATGACTGTTTATGACTGGACATTATACCTAATGGCTTTATCAGTAAATTCATCATATGATCGGCGCATATAATTATAGCAACAGAGTTAAACTCAGGTCTGTAGGAGGGGTTGCTTTCGTTTCATAGTCTTTCACAGCCTTAAACGTGTAATCCACAATTTAAGTTCCCTTATCGACCAACTTGAGGACCACATTCTCTCTAAAACCAATCGGAACCATTCATCATTAAAGCTTAATCAGATTTATTATTCTACACAAACTCCGCCATGATTTATCCTCCCTCTTGTCCACCAACAAAAAGAAGAAGCTACATAAAAGTAGACCAACAACTAACATAACCCCATGTAAACAAGAGAATGGCAAGAATGTAGTCGTCTGCATGTCCTCCAGATCTCCCTCTGTGTGATGTTGAGCGGTCTCTCCTTTCTAATGGTCTCAAATGTATTCCTCTCAACTATTCCATCGACCGTTATCACAAGGGTGTAGCTCGAGTTGGTGTCACACGGTGCGGTAAACTCATAGTGTCACACGGTGCGGTAAACTCATGGTGTCACACGGTGCGGTAAACTCATAGTGTCACACGGTGCGGTAAACTCATAGTGTCACACGGTGCGGTAAACTCATAGTGTCACACGGTGCGGTAAACTCATAGTGTCACACGGTGCGGTAAACTCATAGTGTCACACGGTGCGGTAAACTCAGAGTGTCACACGGTGCGTTAAACTCATAGTGTCACACGGTGCGGTAAACTCATAGTGTCACACGGTGCGGTAAACTCATAGTGTCACACGGTGCGGTAAACTCATGGTGTCACACGGTGCGGTAAACTCATGGTGTCACACGGTGCGGTAAACTCATGGTGTCACAAGCTGCGGTCAACTCATGGTGTCACCCCTCTCATCCCAACTTCCACGATATTTTTCTTCTTGTTAAATTAAGTCAACAGCATAACAATGACAAGAACAAAAACAAATCAATTGGAGGTCAGGAGGTAAATGTATTTAAGAACTGTAACATTGCTAAGTTATAATTATTTTTACATTAAGTTTAATTTATTTAAAATGTTCATTACCTGGTCTTCAAAGCTGCAAACCTGTCAATCACTTGATCAAAATAAATTTCCTTCACTGTATCATTTTCGATTGATGGTAGAGCCAGATCAGAAAGCCTTGGCTGTCCCACGGTGGATCGTAAATAGTTCTTGATAAGTCTTAGTTTTGAAAATTTCCGTTCACGTGAAGCCACTGACACACAGATTGTAAAAAAACTATTGAATTGGAAGAGATTCTAGTAAGTCCCATTCAGCTATGAATTTCAAAACATCAAATACTGACTATTCCATGACTTTGTGAAATTCAATATCAGCTGCCTTTAAGTGTCTTATAAACCTTGGTATTTCTTTTAAAAGTTCATTTTCAAGTTCATATCTCATGATAGAAAGAGGTTAATTTTGGAACGGATACCAATGTCTCCTCTTCACTTGCTGATAGTAGACTCTTGGGTTGAACAGCCCCAAACATATCTGCTATTTCCTTGATCGCTGATGATCTGACCTGGGGTTCAGAATGAAAGCTATCAATACACTCCAACATCTCCCTACTGGTTTGTTCTCGCAGAGAGTCCAGCATCTATTATTTATTCTCCTGCAATTCTCTTCTTAAACCTTAATCTTTTTTCTACCGAAATTCCAAATTGTTCTGATTTTAAAAGTGCCCTTTCAATAGCATGTTCCACCTAGTGACAGCGCTTCTCTTGCAGAAACAATCTTAAGACCTCTAGGTTGGTCACTACTTTGTCAAGAGTAAAGCCTTTAGTCTGTAGATACTGCTGTGTAAGATTAACTTCCTCAAGTAGATCAGCCCAAAGGTAAAGGTAGCAGATAAACAAGAAATCACAGGCGGCATGTAAAAGACCTGGTGCTGTATGACAATTGTGCTCACATGTTAAGGGGCGGTGATAGTGATGAATCAGCGAAAATATTTATTGTTGAGTATTTCTAGGATTCGATATTCATGTATTTGGTTTCCCAGCCCTTCAAAAAAATGTGTAAAATAAATTTTAATTAATTAATAAAAGATATTTGAAAATATTTGTAATATCTTTTGTAAAATATTATTTTGTTAACCCTATACATTGGTAAAAAGTCATTTGTTAATATTTAATATTGACACCGATTCGCTTCGCCAGACCACAACGTTTTTGTTATCATTTGAAAGCTTTATTTCTCAGAATTTAGATAAATCTAGCTTCCTAGCTTCCTGTCACTTACGGAAGTTACCGAACGCTTCAATCGGTGTGAATCATTTTCAAAATCGTGTTTTCTGATCTAATTATTGGGGTACCTCATTTCTGACGAATCAACCTTGAATTTTTTATAAAGCACGCATTTGGATTGGTTACATGGGTCGAACACGTACGTGTGATTGGTTAGATCGAGCAGTGGGTGCTGTGTAAATATGCAATTTTTTCAATTTCGTGTAACCCCTGAAATGGTGTCCCCCGTTGCGGTCTGTACCCCCTAGCTACGCGTCATCAATAACTTGCTGACTCTCACTACTATTTTAGATCTTTGAGTCTAAAGTACTACTTTTATGGTAGAGAGAGAGAGAGAGAGAGAGAGAGAGAGAGAGAGAGAGAGAGAGAAAACAAAAAAAAAGAGGATGATATATACACTTTTGAGAGA